TTCCGAAGATAAGATGTTTTAAGAACACCATATTACTTTCAAAAATAAAAGTCGATTTTAACGCAAGGGGGCCATCTTTTTTGTAACAAAGTGGAGCGTGTCCTACCATATGAATGTTATATTTCATAGAACCAATTCCATAAATTTGCTGATACGTTCTTAAAAACGTTTTAAGAGTTTCGTCACATTTATCAAGTTCTTTTCCAGTTGCCCCCAATTTTAAAAGCATGTACATTGATTTTACCAACAAAGCTAGATTTTCCAAAACATTGGCTGGCAGCTTAAAATCTATACACATTGGTAGGCAGTAAAATAAAATCCACGATCTCCAATGTGTTCCCTTCCATACCGATTTGTTACTTAGCTTTTCAGGTGTAACGATAGACGTCTCGTAAGCATACTCGCCCGGCGAAGAGAGAGAAAGTAGACGGCGTAAGTAGCAGCGTCCCTCTCTTCCCCCCCTCGCGCTAACGCCACTGACTACCTAGCGAGATTATATACCTGGCGGCTCGCACCTTTTACTTTGGTTCGTCCTCCGACTGGCTTTGAGGTGCACCTCTGGCTAGATGGAAGCGATCTCACTCCTAGTTCATGGCTACCTGGACTCAATTGAGGCGCTCCTCATTAAATTCAGGTAATGCGAGGTTCTAGTTTTCGTTTGCCGTGATAGCTTAACTTACATTTTGGATTAATTACGGGATTAACTCCTGGTGAACACGATCGCAAATGTTAAAGGTACCTTTGTTCATTTCAGACAAGAAACTGGCCAGAACAATACGATAGAGGGCGGTGCTGTCGAGCCACTTGAGAGATCTGGATGATCCACTCATCCTAAACTATTTTGCATTATATCGAGTCACTATTGATTATTCATTGTTTTATATTGTTTATATTCTTTATATATATATATATATATATATATTCTTTTGTACTCTTATTTAATTTTCTTTATTTTACAATATATCATTCTTTCGAAGGTTTTAAATAAAGACTCGTTATTGACTATACCTCTCCTATGAATCATAGTACGCAATAGTTCCATAAAGCTAAATAGATGGCGCTTTTCGCCACAAGTAAGAATTAAGTAAACACAAGGACTCGGTCCCCATCTGACGAGCGAATCCTTTGCCAATTAAAATATAGATCATTACACAGGCAATTTATAAACTTCGTGACTGGGACGTACAATTGTTAATCTTTCATCTAATTTGTTATTAACCGCTTTAGAAAAATGAGAGCTATTACTAATATCTTCAACTGCACCCAAGAGAGCAGTATGAAGATAATCGAAAGTGAAGCCCCAAACCATATCGAAATCGGATAAACAACATAGAACAGATTCTCCTTTTACACATCTAGAACGAATAAAGCAACTCGACGTACTTGATACAAATTTTAAATCAGCTTTATGAGATTCGGATGATAGTAATTCTGTGGAAAATGTATAAGTTATCGCGTTAGGATGTTTTTTCACAACTTCGCGATACAGTATACTATCATCAACGTCAGAAATTGATTCATTTTCTTTAAAATTTTCAGCAGTTCGAGTTTTTATTTTGTGCACAAATTGTTTTACTATATTTTGATTTTTAAGTAACTGATCAATTTGATACTTCAAATTTAAGACTTGAAAACAGTTCGGAGAATTTAATGTAAGTTCATATAGCTGAGAACATTTGTCGCTAAGAAATTATTTTTTATTTTCTTTAACAAAACTGCGCCTCTCAGTTTCTAATATAGTTTCTTCGCAATTAACACAGCAATAATGGATTTTAATTACATCTTTTGGTGGATCAAAAACTTTAGACATCATATAGTTTGAAACATTTACATTGTCGAAGTCAGGTCCTGCACAAATTTTAAACATGTCAAATAATTTAGTACGACCTTCTAAACTTACGGCATATCGCGTAGAGAATCCCATGATCATTTCTATAACATCTTCTATTGGGATGTTTGATTTTGGAAACATAACTCTATTTCCGATAAGTAATGTTTCATTAATAGTTTCATGGATTTCATCACGGATGTCTTCAGCTTCAACAAACGCAGAATTTTCAAAAATTTTTTTTTTTTTTGAAAAAGTTGTCTCACCGTTGACGTCAGTATCTTCCGATGCGTTCAGTAATTCTTGTGGTTCAAGATTTTCCTCTTGTAAGAATTGAGGAAGTTGTTCTGTTATTTCTGGTTCCTATTGGTGAAGTAACTAAGCCGCTGCTTTTTAGTTGCTGACCTTCAAAATTGAGCGATAAATGATAGTAGATAAATTAAAAATTAAAAAATGTATATGTTGTGGTCAAAGCCCGGAGTGCGGGAAAATAGCGGTGTGACCAGTCATTTCGCAGTTGGCGCGAGTGCTTTTGAGCCAAGTCCGAAATACTGATTTATTTAGGGCTTTGCCCGAAGTTCCAGCGGGCAAACTGCGGAGTGCCCATGCAGCTTTGGGCAATGTCCGAAATAAATTAAAATATAGTATTTAGAAATTTATAAGGTCTGAATTATTTCTATTTTATTATTATTTATTATTAATTTAATTGCATTCTAGTTACTATTAATTTTATATTTTATTAAATACATTTATTATTTTAATTATGTATTATTTTATTAAAATATAACATTTTTTTAATAATCGATGCAAATAATGTTTTCCAAGAAAAGGTCAATAAAAAATAATGTAAAAAAATTTTTTGTAGGAGAACGACTAAAATAAATATAATAAAAAATAAACATAGAAATAAAAATATATAATATTTAAAACATTTTAATTAGTTTGCTTTATTTATTGGAGCAAGAATTTTTAAAATGTATAATTGCACCAAAAAATGTACAACTATGACTTGTAAATGTAAAAATAATAATGTGATGTACAATTCAAAATGTCTTAGCTTAAATCTTTGCTTCAATAAATAAAGAAAATTAATTAAAAAATTTTTTAAATTATATTATATTATTTATATTTTTATATTTATTTTTTATTAAATTTACTTCTACTCGTTCTACTAGAGAAAACATTCATTTACATTATTTTTTATTGACTTTTGTTTGATAAACATTATTTTCATCGATTATTAAAAAATTTTGAAAATTTTTATATGGCAATAAAACAGTAACTAGAATGTAATGAAAAACCTGTGCTGTGGAAATAAATTGATATTATCGACAACTAAAAATAGGTCATAGATCTTATAAATTTCTAAATATTATATTTTAATTTATTGCGGACATTGCCCGAAGCTGCTTGGGCACTCTTGAGGATCTCTAGGGCACTCCGCAGTTTGCCCGCTGGAACTTCGAGCAAAGCCCGAAATAAATCCGTATTTCGGATTGGGCCAAAAGCACTCGGGCCAACTGCGAAATGACCGGGTATTCCGCGATTTGTCCGCACTTCGGTCTTTGACCACAACATATATATACACACACACCTTATTTGCAAATACTAAAATTTAGGAAGATATAGAATCGGGAACTTGTATTTTTAATATATTTCGAAACGTTGAAATAAATACACATTTCTAAATTTGATGAAAATGATTAATTAACTCTTCAACATTTAAAAGACTTTGAACTTGGATAAATATACAAACCAATTCATTTCAATTTCATGTCAGAAAAATTAAAATTTTTTTTACTTTCAAGTTAATAAAAAAAGTTTATTTTATTAAAAATAATGTCCACATTACATTGCATTACATCAATATATAATCAAAAAATGAACTATTTCTACGTTTCCAAGTTGAATTCAATATACCTCATTTATAAGAAATTCATCTTTATAAAAATATAATTTACATTAAAACATTTTTATAATTAAAAAAATTAAACATACCTCCCAGAACATTAAAAATCATAAACAGCAGGAAAGAAATATTAGGATTCAAAGCTTTGTAATATTTTTTCAACAAGGCTTTTTTATAATTTGTAAGATATCTCTTTGGCTTTGGATCATCATTGTCTTTCATGTTGGGGTTATTCTTAAAAAAAAGACGAATTGTTTATTTTCAAACGCGTGTATGGAAAAGTAATTTAAGAATAATTTATTTCATACTAATCGGTAAAACTAATTTACTTTGCATATTAATAATAAAAAAAATAATTAAATATTTCTATTTATATAAACAAATGAAAAAAATTTATATCAAAATCGGAAATAAAAAAAAATTAAAACTGCGCTTGATACGTGAAAAAAGTAAACCTTATAATAGTAAAATTTATGAATTAACTATAAACTACAAATTAAATTGAAATATTTTATTTTAAATCGATGCATATGAATTATTTATTCGAAGGTGTAGACAATCAAGTTATTTTCATAAAAAATCGTTTATTAAAAACTCAAACATTGATAGTATATTTCGTTTATAAATTTACTATTACCAAAAAAAATATAATGTGTAGTGTTTCTCGTCAAAGAAAAAAGTGTTTTAAGAAAATAGTACTATACTTTTTTCACTTTTTTTCACTCAAATGTACATTGTATTTTTCTTTCTAACCTCCAAATTACTACACATGAAAACCATGTGTAAATACATGGCAGAAAAGAAAATTCATGCGTAGATAAGATATATTTTTGAATAATAATAATAATACAAACCTGCTTGACAACACTCATACTAAACTGATTTATATTTAATTAAATTAGAACGAAAATCACCACAAATTAAAACGACTTTTTCGCAAATCTACTGCTGTGAAAATAGCACTATATATTTATGCTGAACCAGTGCCGAATTTATATCTAGGCATACTTGGCGGCAATTGCTTACGGGCCCTTTCCTCATAAAAATTTTTTATAGGCAAAAACATTTGATAAACATAATTATTTTTATTTGAAATATCTCTAATATTCATTTGTATGATTTTTGTTTATAATAACTAAATAAAATAGTTTTCTGTGAGTGGTGATTATAATGCCTGCCAGTGGCCTTAGTAAGTACGTCGTTGCTGCAGAATTCGATATTCGATGGTTCGATCGATAAATGCGTAGTAGCACTATCGTCGCGAATGCCGGTTTCGAGCAGTTTCTATCTCTCAACACGTTTTTCCGTCGTTATGCCAGTGCTAAGTATTCGTCATAAAAACTAATTTTAGTGGTTATAAAATGAGAGCTTGTGTGAAATTTTGTGATCGGGAAGAAAGGGTAAATGTCCAAGTAACGAAAATTAAAAACTTTGATCAAAAAACGTGAGTTAAACTCAAGTAATATAAAGTTACGTGCAACGATATTGTGGAGGATGGCATAGTTTTGCACATTGCAGGTAATATTTTTGTATAATCTTTTTATGAAATAAATATTTCATTTTGTATGTGATTCTTTTAATAATATATCTCTTGTAAAAAAATATTTAAAAATTATGAGCATAGTATTCATTTATTTTTGTATTTCTAATAAAATAAGATAAAAATTATTTCAAAGTCGCCATTTTTATATCACCAAATTGCCTTTATAGACGAAGTTGAAATCCACAACGTTCATGATCAACAGTATAAAGTTTTTAGAGAAATATTTTAAAAAATTGTAATAGAAAGATATTTTTCTTTTAAATTTCTTTAAATTCAACTTCGTCTAAATAGTTCGTTTCATACTGTATGCAGATGATAAATTAAAAATATTTTTACTAAATACTATTTTAAAATTACAATTATAATCTCTTTCACATTCGTTGATTTTGTTTTGCGTCCGATTTACCTCATATAAGTATATTTTCAAATTTACATTATGTGGAAAATAACTTTGCTATTTTTGTATTTCGTTGAGGTAAAAAGACTTTAAAAAATGACCTCAATGACCCAGTGCGGGCAAAAAAAGCATTATTTTTAGAAATTTTCGTAAAACATTTCATGTCTGTCAATAAAATAACAAATATTATAGAAACGTTTTTAGAGCATTCAATGTTTATAATAATAAGTTATTTTGACAGTAATTTAGTTCCACATATTTTTGATTTACTGTAAAAATAAGCGATAATGTTTTGTAAAATAGAAAAATTTATTTATTAAATAATTTCAGAAACATTGGAAGCTTTGGAGACGATAGTTAATACCAAACGTCTTGCAGCTCCTCCTTTAAAAAAATTAATATCTTCTTCCGAAGAAAGCAGCGCTGGCAAAGACGGCGACAAAACAAATAAAGTTGGAGAAAAAATAAGATAAAGCGGAAAAATACTGACAGCCTCGGACAGAAAGCAACAGTGACAAAAGTTCAGGTAAACACAGTTCTGTTTTAAGTTATCAATAAAAACATTACATTTATTTAAATATATATTAATTTTTTTTATTTTGATAATTGATTAATTTTTTTGATTTATCACACATACTTATATTTTATTTATTTTATAAAGATTTTTTTGTATTGATTAATGAATGATTAAGTATTTTAATTAACAATTTATTTAGTTTCAAAAATTTTTTAAATTTTAAATATTTTTAAACTTAATATTATAGACTGCATGAAATAATTTAAAAAAATAGGTTATAAAGCATTTCAATTAAAATTTTTTCATTTCTCAGTTTAATAAAAGTTTTTTAACAGGGAAAGCCTGCTAAAAAAATGAAAAAGCGAAGAAAACAATCGCTACCTCAAATTCGCAAAAAAATACTGATTTATCACTTGTATTCGGTGCACCTAATACACCAAAGGCAACTAGTAACCCAACTTAAATATCAGTAAAAGTAAAGAAAGTTTTCTACATTACACTTTCTTAAATTTTTAAAATACTACTTTGAATCTAAAGATACCAAAATTTTAATGTGTCCTAATAATTTAAAGTTTTTTATCTTAAAATTTAATTTATAAATTTCCAAATCGATTTTTATTTGAAAAATTGAATTTTTGTATCAAAAAAATTATAACGATTCGTTTTGATTTAAGGCAAATCAAAAAAAGGAAGAATCGTTTTTTAAAAAGCCACCCGAGAAACCGATTTCCAATAGTTCATTAAAATCGAATTCAGGATTTCCAAAGCCTGCAGACCTTTATCCTACTGTGAGCACTGCTGCGAATTCAGAATGTGTGAGTGATTTATAAAGTATTTTTTAAATTGCAAAATTTTTCAAATATTTCGCTTCTTTATAGAGGTTTTTATTAGTTTCATTTTTAAAAGATACAAAATGTTCATACTATATAATAGTCACTTTCTAGATACTCTATAGAAAGCAACACGTATACGCTTATTAATACGTTAAATAATATGTTCCAAAATAGTCCACAAAGTAAAAAAAAATTAATAGAAGTTAAGAAATTTAAAAAAATTTAATTTTTAATTAATTAAAAATTAGTTATAGTTTTAGGAGTCAAAATTAAATATTACATAATTTGTTTCAAAACCATCATTCTTGTGCTGATGAAAAGCAGTTGATTAAATGCAAAGTCTCGGTTTTGTCCAAACAATTAAGAGAAATGCAAACACAATTATTGGAAAAAGAAAATGAATTGTAGTTGAAAAAAGGCGAGTTGGAAGAAAACAGAAAAATATCAAATCTCATGGAAGCTATGATTGTTAATAAAGACAAAGAGCTGGAAGTTTTAAGAAGACTAAATCACAACTATCAGGAAACAGTACTGCCAGATATAAAAAAGTTGAATGGTATAAACGCATTACAATTGAATTTCACACTGAAAAAGTACAAAAAAAGTAAAAAAAAACATTTCATATGATAAAATACGTTATATTATCTTACACCTTTTTATTTAAAAATTTTAAAGACTTTGTTTCCGAACATCTATATTTTAAATTATAATTTGAAATAATTATTATTATTTATTAAGGTTTAAAAAATTGTTTTCAAATTTTGAAAAATATATTAAATATTGCAATATATTTTTAGTTTCCTTTACCGAAAAAATTTTAAAAAACGCTAACATTTATTTAACTGATTTAAAAATTATTGTTAAATCTTATATTAATCATAAATAGAATCGACTAATTATTTTTAATATTACACCGTCCGACAAAATTCAACTTTTTTTTCACACACGAAAAAATCAACGATTTTCAGAAACTAGGACCAAAAAAAAAGATACCCGTGTCTGGCCGTTTTGCTAGATCAGGTCATTTTTTGCTTTTAGGGGTAAAAACAACCCTTAAATGAAAGGTAATAGGAAATCTTGTACAAATTAATAATTTTTTATGAAACCTGGTATCTCGGGGTTTTCCGGGTCGCTGATTACGAATCTGATGTCAGATTTTCAAAATTCAAAATGGCGGATCCAATATGGCGGTCGAAATTTATAAAAATTCACCAATTCATTTGAAAGTTGTTACTTAGGGGTTTTTGGGGTCGCTGATTCCGAATATGATGTCAGATTTTCAAAACTCAAAATGGCGGATCCAATATAGTGGTCGAAATTTATAAATGTTATTAATTTTTTATAAAACTTCGTATCTCTGGGTTTTTGGGTTCGGTGTGTACGCTTCTGAAAGTTGATTTTTAAAATTCAAAATAGATCTAATAATGTAGAAGATTAGAAAACAATATATAAAAAATAAAAATTTCCACATATGTGTATTTTGTATATTGGACACTTTTTTAATGACAAAACAGGCTTTGTAGTAAGTAAGAATATTTTTATTAGATAACAGTAATAAGCTCAAGTAAGATCAATTTAAAGATGTGAAGTGATTGTTTAAAACTGCTGTGCAAAGTAAAAAAGTCTACAATTGTCATTTGTTTTATGTACTATTTTCCGTAACTATGCAACTGAAAACGAACATATAAACAACTGTCATTTGTTTTAACTTTGTCCAATATACAAAAAACACATATGTGGAAATTCTTATTTTTTAAATATTGTTTTCTAATCTATTATTTGTGTTTTAATTATTTATATTTATTTTTTAAATTACTTTTTATAATTGGGTCAATTAATACTGAAAATCATCTAAGAGTGGTTGATGGCATATTTTTTGAAAACCTAGTTTTCAAATAGTTGTAACCCCAGTATAGATGTATGATTTTTATATAAAAATTTGGTAAGGGTATTTTGCTCCGTTTCAGAAATAATAATTTGAAAATTTTGTTTTTAATGGTTTGACCCATTATTATTTAAAATTATAGAAGAATAATCTTTGTATTCATTCCTTTATTCATTCACCTTTTCTTAGTACTTGAATTTTCTCATTATTATTAGATTATATATATACATATATATCTTTACTTTGATAATTAGGGTTCTCGAAGGTTTCTACCTGAAATTTGTTTTGTCAAAACAAATTTCAGTTGAGGGTTTTTTTGGAAAAATTTTTTGGTATTGGATAATTTTAGCATTAAAGATATTTGGATTTTAAGGATAAAAAATTATATTCGATTGGATTGGAAAAATTTTTTGGTATTGGATAAGATTGGTATTAAAGATATTAGATTTTGAGGATAATAAAATATGATATTGGATAACATTGGTTTTGAATATATTTCGATATTGAAAAAAAATTGACTGTTTGATAATAGTGGATGCTGGCTTTTGGAAAAGTATTTAAATAGAAAGAAAGAGGGTTAAATATTGTTTTAAGGGTTGAAGTTGTTTTATGGGTTAAATAATAGTTTGTGAGTCGAATATTGATTTGAATAATAATAAAAAGTGCAGAGGAAAATAAGTTAAATAATAATCATTATCGAAAATGATGTAATGTGGAAAAAGATTAAACAACGCTAATTCACGTTCATAAAAGACTATCATTGTTGCATTAGTTAGCTGAATTATAGTTAACGAAATATTTTATAGGTGAAACACGTGTAAGTAAATTTTTTTAAAGCAAGAAACTAAAATAAACGATTAGTTTTGAAAATTGGCTTTATCCACAGTTTAAAAGTTCAAAAAGGATACCATGTCGAACATAAAAGAGTATTTTATTTTATTTAAGTAATAAAGATTTTAAGAATATTGAAAATGTAAATGAAATGTTAAATGATATGCATATGTATAAATTTCAAGAATTATTAAAAAATGATTCAAATTCTTTTTTCATTATGCAAAGTACTTTGTATTTACAAATGCTTGATTTAATTGTTCCAATTGGAGGAAGAGATAAACATATTCAAATAGTTCTTAGCGGTAATAACAATTCTGGTCATTGGATTTGTGTTTATTACGATGGAGTAATATTTTTTAAGGCTATTTATTATTTATTAAGACTATTTTTTAAAGCCTTAATGCACGGTGTTTGAATATCCATCAAATAGAATATTTAATTAGATTTTTCCCTTTTAAACCAACAGAATTTTTTGTAGGTGTTGATCAACAGCCGATTGGTACAGTTAAGTGTGAAGTATATGAAATAGCATTTGCTGTAAATTAAAAGATTAATTTATGAAACTGATAATAATATAATGAGCAAGCAGTTGATATCATTTTTTGAAAACAATTAATTAAATCATTTTCAGGCAGTTACAATGTCTGAGTCGGTATCAAAACTACACAAGAATTTTCATAAAAAAGTTATATTGTACAAAACATAAAAATTGTTATTTTTTACATTATATTTTTTTAATGTTTTTTTTATTTTTTGTAAATTTTAACTTTTTTGTAAATGAAAAAATTTTTTTTTCAATTTGTTATTTTGTACATTGAATTTTTTTTTGTTTTTTCTTAACGTTATTTTTTACATAATTTTTTTAGTTATTTTTTACATAATTTTTTTTGTTATTTTTTACATATAGAAAAATAAATTTCGTTATAATTTTTTGGGGCGGTTTGAGGTGCCCAAAAAACTAAATGCATACATTGAAACTGTATATAAACTGCATTTACAAGTATCACGGAGAGAAATAGATGGTACGGGATAATATCTAGATAGTACCAGGTACCATATTTGATCTTACAACCAACAGCTATCTAGATTCTATCAGTTACTATCCAGATTATACGGAGTAACATCTTGATGGTAGTGGGTAACATAACAACACTTTTTGTAACATATTTGATAGTACCGAGTAACATAATGATAGTACCGGATAACATCTTCTTTTTACCACCTTAAGATCATAAATTCTTACCGTCTATTTCTTTCCATGTCACACCGTGCAGGAAGGACAATATTATTAAGTTTCATTGTGGCAACTTTTTGAAAATTTTTTATGTTTATACAAAGCTTTCCGATGAAAATGACGCTTTAACCAAAATCCTAGCTGCTAATTTTTTCAAGATACATAAATATATGTAGATACATACTTAAGTTTTCTTTATAAGTTTTACGTTTAACAAATTGAGAATTGGGGAAAGAAGATTATTCGTATATCCATTTTTTGCTATGAATATATATACACATAAATACATATAAAAGTATGTAAAACAGTGATCTATCATCAATAATTTGATTGGAAATCTATACAAAAATATTATTATTGGCCAATCAGTAGGAGAATCCATTCTTTTCCGACGCTGAGTATAATTTTTAAAATTTGCTAATCTTCGAAAACTTTTGTAAAAATGGCTGAGTTTTATGGCAAAACTCATAAAGAATATCGGGGAAAAGTTTGTGAACCCTGTGGAAAAAAATTAAGTTTGGAAAAAAATCCGAATCGTTTTCTAATAACTGATAAAATTTGTGAACGAATAAAGTGTTTTATTGATCCAGATTTCTCTACAAACAACAGTAAATTTCCAATTGGTATCTGTGCTACATGTTTGACAATTTTAATTGAACACGAAAG